AATTCCAATTACACATCGCCGCAAAAAAAATAAGTAGCGTATAAATTACTTCCACATTTCCTGCCACGCTTACAGAGTGTGCCCCAAATTACGAACCGTCCAAGGCGTGAAGCCCAAATTGATTAGAAAAAATTATGAACTCTCATCCGACACATGAAAAAACACCCGACTTCCGATTCGGACACCTTCAGCTATAATAGAGATCGGTGACACGCACGACGGAAAAAATCGGGCCACTAAGTAGGGCTAGCGGGTACCGGAAGGTTCTGTGACGTCACGAGGTGTGATTGTCCACCGGAGATGACCCCGTTGATTGTTTCGTTTCCGGTTCCGTTTTTGTAATGCTACCTGTGATTTTGGTGTTTTATATCTAGCGCTCTTCGATCTTGCAACATATCGGAACAAAAGCGCAATTGTTATTGTATTAGTTAAAAGTCGTTGACTGGTGCTGGACTTTGGACGAAGTTCTACACGAAATTAAGCCATAGTATATTAATTGATATGTTTGTACATTTAAACAACCTTCTTTAGCATAGCAATGCGATTAATAGAGACTGAGCATAATTATCTCGGCACTTGAGAACGTAGCACTTCGGACAATATCTAATTTTGACTCCTGTATAGGGTATTTTAGAAAGACCTGTAAATTCAGGGGGTGATAGTACGCCAAATAATAAGAATTTTTATCTTATGAACTATATGTGTATCTCCTCTTGTTTTCGAGATACAGAGCGACAAAATAAAATTTTTTAAATAGAATTTTTACGAAAATTTCCGAACGGTTCGAAATATTTTTATGAAATTCGGTATTCCGGGGTTTTTTAAGGACGCCAAATATACTGGTCTAATTATTTTTTGTATATTTTATAGAGGCCGCTAGTTATGCTACATTCGTATTACATTTTAAGTTCAAATTTTTTTGAGGTTAGGTTTTTCGGGCTCTAATTTCTAATGTACAATTTTATTTTCTAAAAATAATGTACTCTTGTTAGAACTTTCTAATGTGGACGGTTTTCGAGAAAAAAGGCTTTTAATTGAACTCTTACAATATTATGGTGTAGAAAATAAGTGACTTTTCTCAAAGTAGGCTTATGTCAAAACTTATTGATGGATGTCTCATAAACAACGCATACATTCTCAGTAATATTTTAAACTCTAATTAATTTTATATCAAAATTTTAGTGACTGTAATTAGTCATTCCTAACTACAGTCACTAACAATCACTAAAATTTTGATGTAAAGTTAATTAGAGTTTAAAATATTACTGAAAATGTATGCGTTGTTTATGAGACATCCATCAATGAGTTTTGATATAAGCCTACTTTGAGAAGTCACTTATTTTCTTCACCGTAATATTATAAGAGTTCAATTGATAGCCTCTTTTCTCGAAAACCGTCCACATTAGGAAGTTCTAACAAGAGTACATTATTTTTAGAAAATAAAATTGTACATTAGAAATTGGAGCCCGAATGGTAAAAAACCTAACCTTAAAAAAATTAGAACCTGAAATGTAATAGGAATGTAGCGTAACTAGCGCCCTCAATGAAATATCCAAAAAATAATTAGACTAGCGTATTTGGCGTCCTTAAAAACTCCGGAATATTAAATTTCATAAAAATATTTAGCACCATTTGGAAATTTTCGTAAAAATTCTATTTAAAAAATTTTATTTTGTCGCTCTGTATCTCGAAAACAAGAGGAGATCGACTTATAGTTCAAAAGACAAAAAATTCTTATTTTTTGTCGTACTATCACCCCCTGAATTTACGGGAGGTCTTTCTGAAACACCCTGTATATAAAAACTTTTGATTTTTACAGTTTGTGTTTTATTTCTTAAATAATTTAATTTAAATATATCTAATACACCACCCCTTACACTGGTTTAGAACAAGAATGATTTACTTATGAGGCATATATCAAACACCTTTGTAAGATGTAAAATGTTATTTTTTCTTCCATCTGTTTTTGGAGTCAAAAAAGTTTATTTTATTTTAAACACCGTAAAAAATTGAGTAAATTTTCTCTCAAAGCCCACACAACGCGTTTAAAACGAGTTAAAAAGAGTATTTCCCCTACCCAGAAATGCATAATATTTACAATGAATGGAGTGATATTTACACAAATGTTCTTCTCAAATATTTTAGTTTTTCTAACCTGAAATTGTGCTAAGCTAATTTATATGTTAGAATCTTAAGTTTATTCAAAATTCAAAGAAATACTTCACTTATTCACTTTTCACTTTCGCTATTTCACCATCCAATATTATTTTTTACAGTGAAGAGATTTGTGTATTCGAACGTTCAGTTAAATTCATTATACACAAACAAAGATGGCATCCCCATCCTCAGTTGTGACGATTTTACGGCCCCAAACAGAAGAGTTAATACACTTTGCCGATATTTAATGTCATTAGGGCCCGATAAAAACCTTTCCTAGGGCGATTATCTACCAGAAAACTCCCCGCAGAGCCGTTCATTGTCATCACTCCACCTTCTTTACATGAAACTGTGCCATATGGCGGCAGAAGTGTACTTTACCGAAATTCTCACAATATTCCACCATCTGTCGTGAATATACGTTGTCTTATCTACAAAAAATTACAGCCGCGTAGCTTTTCAAAGATGGTTAGATAGCGGATGGTATGGCGTACCCAGAAATAGTGTCGTTTGAAATGGACATTATACCATTTCGTTTTACGTTTAGACAGAATTAAAAGCAATTTCATTGAATAGCCATATCCACTTTTTTTCGGAATAACTTCCGAAACAAATATATAGAGGAAACAGTGACTATTTGTTGTAAAACTTCAAAGCAATATGTAATAAGTTCTTGTAAGTACATTTTTGGCAGAAAAGGAAATAACATTTTAGAAATACTACACACAAATATAACGATTTTCTTAGAACGTAATAAAATATTGAACTCCCTCAAACATATTGCAGAATACCATATTATTTATGTTGAAGGAAGAGTAAGGACGAATAATTCACATACTGTGACTGTCGGAAGTTTATAGAAATATTTGTGACTTCCTATATTGTCATTACAGTAATAATATAAAGCAAAGATAATAATAATATTGTTAATGTTATTGTCATAGATCTGGATATATTAAATACATTTAATGTTTTATGTTATTAACTAATGCGATATTATTGTAGAATATGTTTCCAAAATAGTGAACTTGATTGAAACGTTTTAGGAGGATAAAGGAGGACAAATTTAAAAAAAAAACTTTTAATTCTTTGCAAACGTATCGGCTTTGTTCTACATTATCTTCAAAGCTCTAAAATACATATATACGTGTTTCTAAATTTGCTAAAAATGTGTTATTAAAATTGTCAATTTATATCTAATAATAATTTTAATTAAAAAAAAAATTTAGTAACGTACTTGTATCTATTTTAGAGTTCCAAAGATGATGTAAAATAACACCGGATCGTTAGTAAATAACAAAAGAAAAGTTAATTCAAATCAGGTCTAAAAATTTTCCTAAAATTCTCATGTAATGAAGTCATCTAGGTATACTTATAATGAAATTATATATCATCAATGGTACACTAAAAAGCAATTTCAAAGACAAGCTATTTGTTAATAACTACGTTTGAAAGAACTACTCTGCGGACTGAGGTCAAGTCCAGAATTGAGTTACACTCGCAATATACTTAGGTATGCATGTAATTAATACAACACATATACCTAATAAATTGAAATTATTTCTTTAAAATATTAATCACGTAAAAACAGCTTCTGCGAAGAAATATTTTTGTTTCTGTTTTACTTGGGACTGTTACATCAGGAAGCCTTCCTTCCAATATTCAATTAATATAAATATACACAAACACCACATATTTAGAAAAAAAGGATCATATTTTGAAATGACACTGTCAGAAGCTTTCGAATACGACTAGATCGTTTATAATAATTGTTTTTCTATTTACAAAGATATTAGTCGTTTTTATTAAACCTTTTAAACTAGAACTAAAACATATTTTATTATTATCTATTATTATTTATTAAAAAATATATTTTTTTATTTTGTTTGATTCAAGACATAGTAAATAAATGAGATAGATAATAATAAAATACATGTTTTTATATATTAAGGGTATATAAATGTAATTATTTGTTTTAATAAATTTTGCAATTATCTCCAAGAGTTGTCCACATTGTGTTGAAGTTTGGTATGTATATATTTTAAGGGGCCTGTTTGAATTGGTTTTTAAATAAGTTGGTGCTTGTTAAACTGCAATCCTCGAATATTTTAATATTTTTAAAATAGGATATTGGGTAAGACCTTGCGATACTTAATATTATATAAGACACGTGCCTTGTTAAAATCCGTAAATTTGCCTAATTTTCGAGAAAAATCGCCTAAACTTTATTTGAACTTAAATGTAAAAATACAATTTTTAAAATAACTTAATTCATACTCGTAATCATTTGTCATTTTTTAAAAGGTTTATGTTAATGGAACTTTGGCCTGCAAATGTATTCTAAATGCTTATGTTAAGCACCTTCTACTTGTTTTTTTTTTTCACTGTATACACAATTTACATCTTTCACAGAAGAAAATAGATAAATCTAATTTCTAGAATATTTTTTTGAATAGAAAAATTATTGATTTAACTGGAATTAAAGTTGAAAAAGATTGTTAACCGGTATTTTATATCATTATATACTTAGTCAATTATAAAAGTTAATATGCAGTACTAGTTTTTATCGATCTTTGGTACAACGAGGAGTCGAGTACGGGCGTCCTAGGAGCCGTCCAGAAGGACACGCGGAGGCCCCTGCTCGACGCCACCCAAGCGCTAGCGAGACACTGCGGCTTCGGAGCGGCGATCAACAGTTGTCGCTCCTCGGCCGTCGCAGGTGCTCGCCAGCGCCCCATTCTTCCTCGCTAAACGCCCGTGCACGTCCTCACTGGGTCTCTTTGCTTCCAGGTATTGACATGGGCGACTATTCTTAAAGTGGGGCAGCGTGATCTGGAGGGGGACCTGAACGACCAATAACGCTCCAACTTATGATGTCATCGGAGGAGGAGACTGAGTTCGGTTTGTACACAGATAAGCTCCTGAAGAAAACTAAAAGAACTAGACAGCGCGTTGACGCCGGCGAGCCGCGTAACTCGTACTCCTCGATCCCGAACTTCAGTTCGCGACCGGCTTTTCTCGGCAGCGGTAATAACCTCTACGGCGCCATTTTCACCCAACAGCAACAGTTCGGTCTCTTCGGACCGGGCTTCCCACCCGCCAAGATGCTCAACGAGCTGCTCGGCCGCCAGAAGGCGGACGGCGGCGCCGATAGCGAGGACGGCAAGTACGACTCATCGGGGATCCGGTGCGACGGCGGCAGCCCGCCCTCCGGGGAGCAGCTGGCCCACCACATGCTGCGGGACATCCTGCAGGGCAGGAAGCACGAGCTGCTCGCGCTGGAGCACGACATGCGCAACGGACAGGACCACATCATTAACAACAACAACAACGAACCCAAGGCGAGCCCCGAACGGAACGACGTGGACGCCGCGGCGGCCATGAAAGAGTGCCTCGCCGAGGCCGGCGTCGTGGGCGACCGCCAGCAAGCTGAGCTCATGGAGGAGGCGCTCAACGGCATGGAGACCGAATCGCTGCCTTCGCCCAAGGTAGAGCCTTCCAGTCCGGCCAAGCCGGAGGACGCCAAGAAGGCTCGAGTGGAAAACATCGTCTCAGGTATGCGATCCAGCCCGGCGCCGCCCCAAGTGAACGGCTGCAAGAAACGAAAACTCTACCAGCCCCAACAACACGACAGCAATGCGGAAAGGTACGTCGACGAGGAAGAGGAGGAAATCGAACCCATCCGGCAGAAGCGAGTGGAGAAGAGCATGCTGAAGTCCCAGTTGAGATCGATGCAAGAACAATTAGCCGAGATGCAGCAGAAATACATGCAGTTGTGTACGCGAGTGGAACAAGGCTCCGAAGAAAGCCAAGAAGTGGAAGAGATACCTAGTGATAGTGAACAGAGCAAGAGATCGGCCGCCCCGTCTCCAGTGACCACCAGCACGCCCACCCCAGTCCCACAGCCGCCGCCCACACTGGCGCAAGAGGTGAGCAAATTAAAGATAAGTCCACCCGGCCCCCCGTTCCACAACGGCTTCCTCCACAACCCTCACCAACACATGAGCAGCGCCGCCGCCATGTACCTGGGCGTGAGCCACAAGCTCCTGATGGAGCAAGAGGCGCGCCTGGCCAAGGAGGCCGCCGCCGTCAACGCCATGAGCAATGAGCCGCCGCAGCAGCAGCCCCAGCAGCCGCCCCCGCAGCCTCCACCACCCAAGCCCGACCAAATAGCGGAGCGGCTGAGCATGATGCGCAGCATGAACCCCAGCGGCACGGACCTGGAGGGCCTCGCCGACGCCCTCAAGAGCGAGATCACCGCCTCCCTGTCGAACCTCATCGACTCCATCCTGCACCGGTTCGTGCACCAGAAACGTTGCAAGCAGCAAGACGCCGCCACAGCGGCCGAACAACTCAACAAAGACCTGTTGATGGCCTCGCAGCTTTTGGACAGGAAGTCGCCCAGGACCAAGGTGGTGGAGCGGCCGCAGGCGCCGCCGCCGCAGCCCACCCACCATCAGAATCAAATGGTAAATGGGAACTCGGGCTGTCCGCCCATGATGCCCGTTCACAATATGGGCAGCATGCAAAAACCGTCAGATCTTCACATTCGGCCTCCGATGTTTCAGCCCCCCAAGCCGCCCGGCATTAGCGCGCCCCTCTACGGCATGAGCAGCCCCTTCTGCGTGTCCAAGCAGGAGACGCCCGAACAGAACGAGGCGCTGAGCCTGGTGGTGGCGCCCAAGAAGAAGCGGCACAAAGTGACGGACACCAGGATAACGCCTCGCACCGTCAGCAGGATCCTGGGCCAGGATGGCATGGGAATGTCGCCCATGGAGTCCAACTCGAACTCGTGTACTTCCCCGAGGCCGCCCCCATATCACCAGCCGCCGCCGATGTTGCCCGTCTCCCTTCCGACGTCGGTGGCGATCCCCAACCCCGGCCTCCACGAATCTCAGGTCTTCTCGCCCTACAGCCCCTTCTTTCATGGACCAAGCCACGGCCATCACATGGCAATGCAGGTAAGAAATTTATTTATAAATGATAAATATTTAATTATAGCATTAGTAACTAAATGGAAATTTAAGTAAACACAAATCTACTAAATGTCGACGTTTTGTCTCTTTATTGAGACATCTTCAGGTCCCGTAAATAAAAAAATACAAATGTTTTATAGACCAACCACTCAGTAAATTTGTATTTTCTTAGATTTCCATTTGGCCATAAATTCACCATACTACTAACAATAATAATTTAATTACAGTTAACGTTGATAAAGAATAAAAATTTAATTCGATAAAGAACTAAATTGTCATCAGGGCCTCTCTAAATATTATTATTGACAGTAAAATAAACAAAAATGATATACACATAGAAACCAGCAGGGAATAAAGATAAAGAATGTTTACAAATATACACCTTGAATAATTCGATTTACTTACAATTAGTAACTGCACTGTTTATTGCACTTTTATTTAACTTCGTTATGCTCTTGTTACAAAGGTTATAACACTACTTAGAAATTTGTGTTTAAAATTTGGTTATAGAAGAAACAAAATTTAGAATTTTCTTAAAAAAAGATTAGATTTTAATTCCACTGTAAACATTAACAAATTATTATTTTTTTTATTAATTCCAGACATTTATTATCTCATTTCTGTTTCTAATACAATCATTTTGGATTCACCAGTTTTAAAAATTTCAACTTGCAATACACAACAAAAAAGGGTGTGATTAAGTACGTAAAAATATTAAAAATAGTAGGGGTCATTTTTTGAAGAAAAGTTCTGGCTAGCATATATCCGCTTAGCTTTTGAGATACAGGGTGTTAAATTTTTTGTAGTGCATCTAACATTTGTGCAAATATATTTTTCTGAAAAATGTATAAAAGCGTATATTCTTCTAAATAATTTTTCGTTGGATTATCTAGCGAAAAATCACAACCATTTGAAAATATTTAAATTTCTTGTCTTCTTTGTTTTAATTTCAATACATCAGTTTTCGAAATCATTAAGCTGTTTGCATAATTACTTACCAATTGCATACCTACTAATATATCAAAATTTTCCCTTCTTTTTTCGCTAATTTTAACATTTCCAAGCAGTTTTAGGAAAAATATTGTTTAATACATGTTTGTGGAGTCAATTTTGCAAATTGTTATAGTGTTTTTCACTCTACTTCACAATCTAGAATCAAATGTAATTGTTAAGATACCTATTTGTTTACAAAAATACCTAATTATAAATAAAGTATATTCATCAAAAATTCAAAAAATTATAGACATAGAAACTTCTTCTCTGTCTAGAGAATTTAAATTTGGAATTATATTTATAACAAAAATTTCCCACAGATTTTTCTGTGAAACATTTTGTTTCAAAATCAATGTAAGCGTAATTTACGAAAAGGAAAATAATAATTACTCAAAAACAAAATATGTGTAATGAAATGCAGTGCTAGATTTTCCATAATATCCACCAACTGTATAAAAATTATGAATTTTTATTTCGTTAAACCGCTAGCCCAAATTAGGTGGTTCAACGTCGTCAAAAATTTCGTAAATGACTAATATTAAAAAAACTATAACACTCTGTATATCAAAAACTTTGATTTATATGAACTTTTCTTATTTATTTAAGGTTATTTATTTCCTGAAATAATTTTACATGCATAAGTTATACTCTGTATACAGGGTGTTAGTTGAGTACGTTAACAAACTTTAAGATGCAATTATTTGAGTGATTTTAAGTCAAAAAGGTTATATGAGCATGGCTCCACCAATCAATAGTTTTCGAGATACAGGATATTGAAATTAAAAAAAATACCTGTTCTAGAATATCTCTGAAGGTGTATCATGCAGAATGATGAAACTTAAGCTGATGATTTATCTGATTAAAGGTAAAAATTCACTGAATATAAATATACAGGGTGATTAAAAAAACCGCTGACAGACTTCTAGGGTAAATAATACCTGAAAAATTAAGACGAAAAGTCTTAATAAACATAGGGTCGCAAATGCCTCCGAGATACAGGGCGTTAAAGTTTCTGTAAAATTAAAGCGTAAAAATGACAAAAAGAAGCTTATAATCTAGTTTACTTAACTCACTTGTACACATTGACATTAGTGACAGGCGATGTTTAATTTTATTTTGAATAGCACAAGCCTACTATGCGAAACTAATATGAATGAAAATAAAATTGGATTTTCAAATTTTCTACAAAGGTGTTTCTCTTAAAAATGGTTGCTTTAATCCAAATTTTGCAAGAGACCAATTGGATAGAAAATTGAACACTTTACACGAAAATAGTGCCCGTTTGACAAAATTAGCAGTGGCGTAGAAAATATTTAAAAAAAAGGGTCACGTTGACCCCGTCTCTACGCCACTGCTGCTCGTAAAATTTTGAGCAGTACATCAAACATTGGTCTTAAGGTTCTAACTACGCATAGCAAATTTGAAATAGATATATTCAGGCATTTTGGAATTATAGCAGACAATGTTTAACTTTACAGAAACTTTGACGCCCTGTATCTCGTTAAGGAGACATTTGCGACCCTATGTTTATTAAAACTTTTCGTCTTAATTTTTTATGTATTATCTACCTTAGATGTCTGTCAGCGGTTTTTTGAATCACCCTGTATATACCAGTGGCGGAGAACGGGGAGTCGCTCTCATTGAAAACCTCAGAAATTTTACGTCACGATATTTTAAAACTGTCAGAAATACAATTTTAAATACAAACCAATCAAGACAAGCCCGAAAAAATTAGTGGTGTGAAATTGTGAATTTTTGTTGGTGATAGTAAGGGGTATGACCCGAAAAAAAAAACAGCTTCTCGGACTTTTCATACTTACGTTGTATTCAAAATCGTAATATTTACAAAAAAAACCGGAATTTTTTTCGCGAAATGAGGATTTCCAAAGTTAAAAGTCTGTATAATATTTGTTGAGACATAATTCCAGGAAAAGAAAAAGCCAATAAAGTTCTGTGATTCGAATTATTGTAACAATTTACCGCGGCAGCAGATAATATAATTATAAATAAAAAAAATTAATAATATATAAAATACAAATAACCTACCGTACTCTCAGTAATATCTAGCTGCGAAATATAGTAATATTTTACAATTTGCTATTTTACAGTTACGGAAATGCACGCAGCTACAACTTTTTTACGGATACGGATCGGTTTGTCCGCGCCACGTTTCAGGNCAATGAAAGGAAACGTATTTCTGGGCTTTTTAGTAGTATCTCCGCCACTGGTACCCGTAATTACATAATAATTCAGACGATTTTGACATTTAATTAGATAAATCATGCGTTTCGTCATTCTACAGCAAACGTCTTCAGACATATTTTTGAATTAGATTTTTATTGATTTTAATTTCAGCACTCTGTACCTCAAAATCTATTTATATTTGCACACGCTTTGTTTTTTTTGTATAAGATCATTCCAAGAACCACCCCTTAAAGTTTGTGGATATACTTAAGTAACACCCTGTATCATTTCAGTTTCACGTCACACATTCCTAAATGTAATAACTGTATTTCAATTAGTTCTAACAACTAAGTGAAAAGAATGATTTCCAAAAATACATTTTTTCTCTTTTTTGTATTTTTTTTACTACACTTTCGAATCTCTCAAAAACGCTTTTCTGCTTTCAGGCATCCTCTTCCCCGCCCCGAATGCACAAGATCGAGCGCGAGTCGCCCCCGATACATCACCCGCCCACCCTGCTGCACCCTGCGCTTCTGGCCGCCGCCCAGCACGGCGGTTCCCCCGACTACGGTCACATGCGTGCCCCCTCGGGGGGCATGAACATGGACAACGGCGACAGGAACTCGGACTGCAACTCCGGAGACATCTCCTACGACGGCATGCAGCCTACAATATCCTTTTTATGCAAAGATTTTAGCAAAAATCTTAGCGCTCACCATGTATGTATTTTTCAAGTACCTAGCTTGGCGCCCATGAAATTTTTTCGCGATTTCCTCGCGAAACCATACCCGGAAAAAATCGAGTATAAACTGCTTCTTGTTCAACGAACAGAGTTTACCTTGTTTAAATTTTAATGCACAAATCAAGCTATACTCGCGTATTTATTGTTCAAAAACTCTGAATTATTTGCTTATTTTTGTTTGTGAAATGGTTTCGCTAAAGTGCATTTTCTAGTGAAACAATTACTTTGTCCTAAGTTCGTTAAATTTAATTAAAGCAACTACACCCTCTGTTGTTTTTTTTTTTTGGCTCTTGACAGCTGCATAAAATCGTCGGGCATTTATAAACTTGGAGAGGATTTTTTAATCTGGCTTAGACATTTTTTTTGCAAATTGAATATATTTTTTTAATACCTACTGACTTCTCCCATTCATATGAGAACATTTTTGCGACTACTGACTTTACTGATAGCTCTACTTCTGTTCAAAAGTGTTGTGTCAATTTTCATCAATGTTCCTAATCGTTACCTACCATGTCCTGGGTCATTTTAGTATGTTTATTCGTAATTATTAATACACGTACACGATCCTTTCACGAAAAGAAAACTTGGGTAAAAATAAGAATCTAGAAAAACAAATCACATAAAAACATTCGTTCGCTAATAATTTTCACAATAAAAGCACACGTGTCCATAATGGAAAAAGGATTGCCTAATTTTTTTCAGTCTATAGCAAAAAACGAGAAAAGAATCACGCTGTTTAGGGTTACAACTATTCACCTTTTTTTATGTAGCATGTGAGTTGGGTACGATTCCAGCGGTCCTCAATTGGTTTATTAATTTTACCAACGGTTTTGATTATCGGAAATATATTATTACCTTGTACAATCCTACCTACTATTAAAAATCCTCTTCAAGTTTCTCAACACGGTGTACATAAATCGGGATTATAATATCACTTGCGGGTCTTCCGATAAACCTTTGACTTGGGGTTAAGTTTTGATATAAGGTATCGCATCGAAATCTAAATAAAACCTCATTAGAATCCGTACAATTTGATTCTATTGTGTTACATTGGAAATAACTACAACTTAGAACATACATTCACCAGCAATCAATTCTTTATCACTGCTTTTCCTTTAGACTTGATAAAAGTGGGAACGGAAGTTATTAGCATTTAAATTTCTGTCATTACAAGTTTTTAAACGCTGACTTATCAATTCTTAATTTGATTACGTCTTGTAAGTTACGTGGGAAATGGAACACGTGACAAAGAAAACTGATAAACTTGTTAGCGCTACTTCAAGAACTGCTATTACGTACAATTTACATATATTATCGTTTTCGCGTCGCTATTAGCCAAGCAAAAGTATAACTTTCATCATTACTGCTATAAAACCCAAAGCTGTTGACCTACAATGTGCCACACTAAAATCGCAAAAAGCCAAACTACAAATCAGCGCCGCTTCCGGCCACTTAGAACACCGGATCTGACACCAACAGAAATTTTGTTAAATTCGTTACAAATCGCGCTGATTTCGGTTTTTTACTTTTATGATGTTAGTGACAAGGTCAAAGCTTTCGGTTCGTATAATTTTATACAGTATGGATTTTGTTTTTTCCCCGACACAGCCGAATGTTTCCTTAACTCCTGAGCACTCGTCAACATTAACTCCGATGCACCTCAGGAAAGCGAAGCTGATGTTCTTCTGGGTACGGTATCCAAGCTCAGCAGTCCTCAAAATGTACTTCCCAGACATCAAGTTCAACAAAAACAACACTGCCCAGCTGGTGAAATGGTTTTCCAACTTCAGGTGAGTCCAGCAAAATTTCCATTTAATATTTATAGTCGCGAATATCAAAAGTGCGGCGCAAAAACCCATCGCGATTCATTTGTTTATAAGAACCCATCGTATTTAAAATGTTTGCAGTCGTTCTGCAGCTTTGAACCGGCCTACTGCCTGAAGCTAACATATTATATCCATTAATACAGCGACATATTCCATTTATTTGGCTTTGGGTGCGCGTTGTTCACTTGTTTCGAATATGATAGCTGCGGGGAAAAATGATCGCCTATTGCCTTATACACTAAGAAAACAAAGTAATTTTTTATTAGCAAATGAATTCGCATCAATATTTGAATGCTTCTTAAAAATCATAGCTTACACCAAGAAAACAAGATTGTTTGAAAAATGTAAATTTAATTTTTCATTAAGAATCCAAATAATTAAAAATTTTAGTTGCAGTAGATCATGTGATCATAATACATTTTAATTGACGAAATGCAGTTTATAATGACTTTCTAGTAACATATTTATAAGCAAAGCGGTAAAACATTTTTCGTTGTACGAAAACGAATCTTTTGTAATCGATAAATTTCTTTGTGTATTTCCAACATTCACCCTAATTATTAACATCTCGCTACCCCTAACCTACCCCAAGCGTTACCCGCAGAAAGAAGGCGATATTTCACCGAATCGATACCGGACTGAATACTCAGTCCATGGGTGGTTGTGCACTTCCAGCTAATAATTAGCAAACGTATTCCCGATAAACCACTAGTAATGGCTTATATATTCAACAAAAGTTCACCAGCGTCTGTTTAGACAGATGGGCCTCCTCGATAAGATAAGAAATCCAATATCGTTGGCTTTAATCTATCCAATTTGGTAATAAAAGAATATGGAAATTACCTTCGACTTTTATCTGATTACAAACAATTTCACATTACTTCGATCGATACTATTCACTTCGACTTGTAATCAGAAAAACAGAGACAGCCACGCCAGTAATATATGTCGATATAGTTCATTGCAAAGATGAAAAACTTAACTGAATGAATGTGCAAGCGTAATACAACTCACTACTTTATATCAAAACAACGTTTATATATGTTTTTATAAGTCTAATATAAACGTTAAAATTATATTATTATATAATTATTGTAGTCAAAATAGTCTTCAATTTTCCATTATATCACAACTTTTTATACCTCCTTGATTTGTTAGGCGAAAAATTAGAGCCTTTCTCTATTTCAAATATTTATTTTGTTTACATAAACTTATATGTAGATTGTAGATAATTTAAAATGCTTGCTAAATATTACGATTACTGTTTGTACATTGTTCCAAAAAAAATATTCTTCTGTCTTTAGCAAAATAGGGCACTTCAGACTCAGTGTTTATATAGTTATAAGTATACACATATATAAACGTACATAAACCTTTATAAATGTATGTAAAGTTATAGATTTTTTAAAATTTATTACTTCTTATAAGGCTACTTTATATAAAGTGTCTAGCTTTAGACTTTAGATTTATTTATATATCGAAAAGTTTTATGATATATAAACGTTTATAAAAACGTGCAGACTAGCGAAAATGCGTACAGCGTCGTATTACTTGCCTAGTATACAAATACATTTTTGTACAGAATTCACATATGCACATATGTAAACGTGTATTAACATATATAAACGTATATAAACGTTACAGACCGTGTATTTCAATAAGGCTGCTTTATCCACAAAGGGTCTAGATTTAAACTCTTTAGATTTATTTAGATTGAAATAGTTTATGATATATAAACGTTTATAAAAACGAGGGGATTAATGAAAATATCAGTTTTCGCGTATATTGTATTACTTGACTAATATACCAATATATTTTTTTGGCACGGAATTCACGTATGCGCATATATTATATATTAACGTACGTAAACGTATTTTAACGTTATAAACGTATATAAACGTTGCAGATTGTGTAAAGGTGATTACTTCTAATAAGGCTTCTTTATCCACACAGGGTCTGGATTTTGTATAGACGTAGTAGTTTGTGACTCACAAACGTTATTAAAAACGTGTGGACTAGCGACAACGTCAGTTTCCGCGTACAGTGTCGTATTGTCCGATTAATGTACAAATCTATTTGTGTAAAAGTTCCAGTTAAGACCAATTAAATCTAAATTAGAGTAAAAAATTAATTATGAGCAATTAAAAGTAAAAGCGTAAGGCATTTTAATTCCTACATGCCTACATATCCGTGTGATGACGACAGTCAGACTTACCTAATGACTAATTTTATGCGAGAGGCTAGACAGAGACAAAAAGTACGGCAGTGAGTGCGAGAAAAAGACGTCCCCGATTGCAAAGAAAAATGCCAACCCCACTAATTAGTCTCAAGACCTTAATTAAGTTATTTTTAATAGAAAGCTCTACGTCAGGGGAGCAGAGCATTATGAGGCTAACGTCGAATGGGGTATAAGTTGCTAATTACACAAATTAGTTAATTTCGTTGTAGTCTGATGGATTCTTTTTCTCGCTAGAATTATAACGTTAAGTTTAAGAGATAGTAAACGTTTCGATTTTGTTAAGAATCATTCCGTGGCCGCCCGAGACGCCATTAATAATAATCCAAGGGCCTCTTGGGTGGGTAATTAAAAACCGACCGGAAGTCGATTTGCGGGATTTTGAGTGACCGGAAGTAATTTAGCGGGGTACACCTTCGCAACGCCCATCCCGCCCATATGAAATCATAGCTCGAGCCAGTCTTGCCACATTGCCGTATCAATAATTAATTATCCTAATTGGCGATTATTGATTAATGCGGCTCGGTGTTAATTATTGACGCTTTAGTTAAACGCGGCTATCTCTGCCGGATCTTAAAATCCAAGAAGCAGATTGGAAGTGCTTAAAAAATAACATTGTTCGGCATCTACCTCTCTAAGTGTTTTTTCACACATCTTTTGAATTTTATAGAAATGTAACTTTTCATCGGTAACGATTAAAATTTTTATTTTTTTTTTCTGGAAAATTTGCTAACTACTTCCTAGTCACTCTTTTGTCAAAGACAGTAGTGTACAATATTTTTTTTTGAAAACGGGTTCTGTTGCCATATATATTGTTATGATATTCTAAGTTGAAACGTTAAATAAATAAATAGCACAACGTAATATTGAAAATTTAGACATGTATGTATGTATGTCTGAGAGTGGTGGAATTGTTTTTCCACCGCGGCACTTAGGAATTATTAGGCCCCTTGTACACTCTCCTTCATTACTCGAGTACTTTTCTTCAAACCATCTTATTTACTGCACGGGTGGCTTGGTGGCAAAGTCTCGTACAGTTTATGTATGATAACATGGTCTTGAGTTACAATTTTCTTTGCTCTGTTCTCATTACCATTTATCGGGGACCACACGCATGCGGCAAATGTTGAGCGACCCAGGTCTCTGGTAGGCTGACACAGCCACATCCCCGAGCTTGCCATAGGTCACCCATCCAAATTCCAGCCTGCGTCCGTGATGTTTACCTCGGCAGTTCGAAATCCACCGGCCAAGACACCCGGCTAGGCGGTCCCCCAAAATTTAGACATATTCACGGTAGAAAAAATAGAGAAAAATTGACAACAGGGGTGTGAATTGCTAGACAAGCGAAAATGAAGGATAAAATTTACATGTAGAATAATTTTTTTAATAAAAAGGCAAAATCGTTAGATAAAAATATGATGATAAATATCATGATATGTAAAATTTTGAATTAAATTAGCTGTAAAAGGCAACAATATATAGTAAAAAAGTAAAAAAGTACAACAAAGTACAAATTTGTAAGTCATGTATCATATTGGAGCATTGGTTGAGGAAATTTAACAAAAAAATAAGATTTTGACAGATAGATTGACGGAGAGAGGAGTTACAGTTCTAAATAAAATTCATGCAATAAACTAAGGCTATAATTAAAGTTTATCATACCTTTAGTCTATATTTATAAGTGGAATCAAAATTAAAGTTCTTTGTATAACTTCATATAGCGATTTTCGGAATGTCAAAACGGTGATTCCACATTGTGTGGAATTTGTTGTGTAAAAAGTATTTATGAGATGTAAAATGATTTGTGTTGTGTTAAAAAGATCTTCTAGTCATGTAAAACTGTATTCAAATCCCAATTTACGTTCCAAGTTGTGTGTCAACATTATTCGTTGTCAAAAAACGGTGTACCTGAAAACATTTCAGTTGTTAGTTAATTCATACAGGAAAAGACTGTTCAGAATAGTGAAAATAAGGAAATATTGATGTTGTGGAACAGTATTACAAACATAGAATTAAGCTATATAGCACAGTTTGGTTAAATTTTGCAAAAATAGAAAAAAATTGTAGATTGTTTGAAAATTAACGTAGAAGAAAGATCTAGGTATTGAAATTTACAGAAAATTATGTAGAATTTGAATATGTAAGTGTCATGCTGCAAAAAACATACATAAAGGCATCATTTTCAGTTAAAAAAATTCATAAAACGTCAATATAATTTAACCATAGCAATAGCTTCTTTTGTCTTCAGTTTATAAAAGTTAGAACAGTAGTCAGTCTTTCTTAATTTGCCAAGCTATAAACATGGTTGAGTTACTCCTAAAATAAATAAAAGCAAGTCAAAACTAAGTAAATAAATGGTGAACTTAGTTACCAGTTTTGAAACGTCAAACGACATTCAGAAGTAATCTGTCATCTGTCAAAAAGTGTAATTTTACATCAGTTAAGATTTTTCTCAACTAACCAAATCTCTACTGGAAACTTATACAGGGTGTTAATGAATAGGTGTTACAAACGGATATGGTATGTAAAAAATCCAAAAATAAGTGCAGTTTACTTAATAAACATATGTCCTAAAGCGGCTCATTTTCGAGATACAGGGCGTTGAAATTTAAAAATAATAAACTATTTTTTCCTGTAGCTCCGGTATTAGTTAATATTTCTTTATCAAACTCAACAGACAGATTTACTAGCTTAAAGGATGCATAAATATGGCAGAAACCATTTATTG